AATAAAAAATGTCCGTTTTGACGAAATCGCTGTTCATGCTCCGCGAAGGCCTGTCTCTTATACACATCTAGATGTGTATAAGAGACAGGGCCGATGCGGTGTGAAGGTGACGGGGTGAGGGGGTTAGGGGGCGTGGGGTGGGGTGGATGGGGGGTGGTGTAGGCTGGGGGCGGGGGCTGGGGGTGGGGGCGGAGCGACTTGCTGGCGGGTCAGCAAGGCCAGGGCGGGGGTTGGTGGGGTATAGCGGCCTTTTTTTCACTGTCGCACTTTGTCGAATGCCGCCCACCACCCCGTAGCCCCCGACGCGCGTGCGCGGAAAGCGGCGCCACGTTCAATTTTTTCGTGCCACGTGGCACGTGACGCGTTTGAGCGCGATTGAACGCGATTGAACGAGGCCCGGACGCGTTTGAACGAGAACGCGCATTCAGCGTTTTCGAACGGTTACATAGTCTTATACTCTCCATCATATTCTTCCTTTCTAAACCTTCCTTCATCATCCTTACTCTGTTCTAGATCGTCTGACCCATCCTCTATCTAATTTAATCGACACTCAACCATTCTTGAACTCACAACCAACTTATGAGCTGCAACAGCGGCGTGTTCTACCATCCCATACCATCCTTCTTCCTCATCCTCATGAATCAAGAGGTAGTGGAGGTAGGGATCTTCCTTTTCTTCCCAACAATCTTCTCTACTGGTTGCCATAGCTGAGGTCGTATAACAATTAGGAGCAGGAGGTAGTCCTTCATCATCGTCTTCCATAAGGAATTCATTATCTATTGATCCCCATTCCACGCGGTTTAACCCATTGACTCGATTCTTATCAGTAGGTACTTTTTCTAATACAAAATCATACGTCCACATATGAGTTATCCATCTACTGACCGTAGCATCTACTTGTTGATGTCTCTTCACAACTCCCATTACTGTCATGGAATCCGTTCTTAGGATGAATCTTCGTCCCATAATATAGTGTCTGAACATCCTGTGACAGTGCAGAATTGCTAGAAGTTCCTTCCTAAACTGAATATAGCCTCTCTCAACCGAATTAAGGGTGCGACTCTCGAACCTCATTGGCCTCTCTTTTCCATTTTCATCTCTTTGCAAAAGCACTCCCCCTAAGGTTTTGGGGCCACCGTCAGCCTCGATAATAAAATGTCTTCCATTTTCATCGTCGAAGTAGGGTACCCCAGTACGACCCCACCGTCTCTTAGCTTATCTTGAAGTGCTCGTGTTGTCGTCTCTCTTTGATTAGATCACTGAAGGCTAGCTCCTTGTCGCACCATCTCTCTAAGGGGTTCCGCTATCCTGACAAACCCAGGAATGAAGATCCGCCAGAAGCTGCAGACCCCTAGGAAGCTTCTTACTTCCCCAACCGTCTTTAGAGGCACAGGCCAGTTCAGGATTTTATCCACCTTCTTCGGATCAGGGCTCCTCCCTTCTAGGAAACACCTAAAACCTAAGATTGTTACCTCTTTTTGAAATAATAACGATTTCGCTCCACTGACTACTCCCTGCGCATGTTCCCACACAAACCGCCTGACCCAACCATCCACTAAAGTCTCATCCTTTTTCTTCGGTTCTTTAACCGGATTGTCATCAATGTGTGGGAACGTAACCTCTAGGCATATGTCCTCCATGACCTTCAGCATGTCTCGCTGGACAACCGCGACCCCATTCGTCCACCCTTGAGGCACCACACATATTTGTATGAGGCCTCTAGGTGTATGCATGACGATCATAGGTCGGCTAGTGGGATCTATCGGGAACTGGTCATAGTTAGAGTATAAGTCTATTAGGGAGTAAATGCTCCTTCCGGCGAAAAACTCGGCCAATAGATTCACGTTGGGTAAGCTACCCGCATCGCAAACTGTTACCGAATTAAGTTTTTGCAAGTTTTGTATCCAGCGCAGGCCTCCACCCGGCTTCCAAAAACAAAACCAGTGATTGGCATAAGCACCATCTGCTAACTCTGCAACGTTGGAGGCGATCTTCTGGTTTATGTATTTCATTACCTCTTCTTCTTCCTTTTGAAGTGAGTATATTTCGTGGGTCTGTCATTCCAAGGTGTGTGAGGAACGGTCTAGATCTTGACGATCTTGATCATGTTACTGTCGAGTCGTCCCCTCTCCTCATCATTAAAGGAAAAGACACCACTGTACTTTTGACATAATTCACATATGAAGTCCTTCTCAGTTAGCGGAAGGAAGTCATCGGCTCCTACCTTCATTATCTTGAACCTCTTTAGAGTAACTCTTCCTCCTTCGAATACAGCCTCTCTTAATCCTTTAATTATCTTTCTTTCCTTCTCTAATGCCTCATTGTAGTCTTTTTCTATCAGGACTGTCACTAGATTTTTCTTAACGCCCTTGCGCTTATACTTCCTCGTGGATCCGGTAGCTATTTTTCTAAAAGGAAGCCTAGTTGCAGAGAAGGTGAGTTGCATCGTGCCGGCTTTTACTGCCCTCACAGCATCCTTGAATCCTTCCATCTCTCTCTTGTCGCCGAACTCCTTGGCTTTATCAAGGAGCATGAGCATCTTCCCGATATCATTTACCTTAACCGTTGTTTCCTCGTCTGTTATTCCACTTTCTTTTAGTTTTGCCCGTACTTCCTCAATCAACTTGTCGGATTCTCTATGCTCAATGGACTTAACATGTCGCTGATGGCGAGGATGATGTTTATCACTTATCACAAAAGTTTGTTCTTGACCAGTGATAGGATCCTGGAGAGAGAGCCAGACTGGCCCATCATGGCCAAAGAACGCACAAGCCTCCATCCAATGTAGGAAAGAGGCTCCTAGGATGCAATAATGATCCAAGTTAGGAACAACAAACCCTA